CAGCACCCGCACTCGGTCCTCAGATGCTCACACTGGGCAGACCAGCAACCACACTCAGTCCTCAGATGCTCACACTGGGCAGACCAGCACCCACACTGAGGCCCACATCTCAGTCCTCAGATAGCCAGACAGAACTCCATCTCTAACCTGTCAGTTCCCTAAGGTCAAATGCCACCAAGGAGCTGATTTGAGGCCCTCGTCTGTTCTCATGGCAGCTTATTGTGAGCATATTCCCCAGTGTCACTGGCTGGTGGGCATGTGATACCTTATTTCTTTCCAAATCTGAGGGCTGAAGAGTCCCGTTCTCCAGATTCTTGGGATCTTTCTCCCGGATTGTGAAGATCCAGTCCCCAGAGTCGCTGCCTCCAGACGCCTGGCCATCTGTCTCTCTTGGAATAGAAATCCCACCAAGTTCACCAACAGGGGCCAGGCCAGGGGCTGCACTGCCCAGACTAATGACCCCCGGCCCACCCCGTCCACCGCCACTGCTTCCTCCCGCACAGAGCAACCATGCCTCTCCTAAGGACACATCTGCCGTTTCACTATTAGCCTTTCTTGGGCATCAGTGTTTCTGCAGTTCCTCTTTCTGGCCTTGGCTCAACGTGTGTGCTCTCTTTTGCTTGCCCCCCTCCCCTAGCCACACCCCATCTCTGCTACAGGCATGGAGAGCCCACAGGGCAACTTACACATCAGAGTCCTCCGAGCTGGAGTCCTCGTGGCTCTGCTCCGCCTTCCACCTCTTGTACCTGTCGATGAGCTCAGTCAAGTAGGACGTCTTCTTTGCATTGCGGATTATGAATTTGTGCTTCAATAATTCCTTAGCGGTTGGTCTCTGGAAAACAGACGTGTCAAAATGATAACCACAAGAGGGAGTTTCTTCCTCATCCCACTATGTCCCACTTGAACAGGCGAGAGCTCTGGGTTAAAATGCCAGATGCACCACGGAGCAGCCCTGGGTTCTGCTTCTGAGTCTGCTCTTCATTCAGGCTTGCTGGAGAAGTCATCCCATACCTGTGCCCCAGTATACGGGCACAGGGAAAATGGGAGAGAATTTCCAACAAGGACTGAAGCATCCTACCAGGGCAGTTCACCAATGCAAGAGAACTGCTGCAAAGAACTCCACAAAGAACTTCGTGAGAACATCTGAGAGAGCTCATCTTGTTTTTACTTGGTCTCTCGTGATAAATGCTGGTTAATGGAAAGACATGCTCTTTATAGTCTCCTATAGTGTTAGGTGAATACCCTAGATTGAGTTCACAGGTTCAATTCAACTAAGAAGAGGTTGGGGCAGGACCTGACTGGCTCCTGGCTCCTGCCTGGGTTCCCTCAGTCACTAGCACTCCCACCTTAAGAAAAGTAGGTCCGTGCATCTATCCCCACGCTGGTGACTGAGACCAACAGCTTGAAGCTCACTCAACATGGCACAACTACAACCAAATGGCATAGCCAGAGATTAAGCCAGTGTCTTCCTCATCTACTGGCAAAAAGCTCCCCAAGACAGAGTGGTCTAACCAGGGACAGATAGCAAAAACAGATTTACCAGCCTGGCAGACCACAGTTCCACTCGCTCCAGGAGTCAAGAACAGCAGTTTCTCTAACAGAAATCTCTGAGAGGCCAAGTGGCCTCAATGATCCCTCCTCACCCCCTCCTATCTTCTGGCTGTGACACTCCATAAACATCCCAAGTGTTCTCAGATTTGCAGCCTTCACATCTAAGGGTCCAAGGGTAATCCAAGATAGAGGGGTCCACGGTGGGAATAAACCAGTACTGTACATGCTTAGAAGCTGTGCAGACACCTGGGTCTCTCTTCTACTACACTGTAGGGCACCATGATATAACAATCAAACACCTGGACTGACATGCAAGACCACACCCACCACCACCTGATTCCTGCCCCAGTAAACAAATGCTGACCTGCTGACCTCAACCTGCATTCCTTCCCCCCCACCCCCCACCCCCCACCCCAAGCTGAGAAAGTGTTGCCTGTCCTTTTTAAGCCCTTTGCCAGAACTGGCTCCTCCTGGGAAGCATATGATGCTCCTGTGAAATTCATCTTCTCTCACAATTTCAGACAAGGGCTCATGGGGACCCTCCATGAGTATTCTTCAGGTTCAGTGAAAAAGCCCTTGGCACATCTAAATCTGCTCAAAGAAACCCAAAACAAACCAAGGGCATGGAGGGCTACGCGTGACAAAACACACAGGCTGCCTTCGCTTCTCAGAGAAAACTGAGGAAAACTCAGAGCAGCTAAGGCCCGCGGGCTTTGCTACCACTGAGTAACACAGAGAGAAAAGGCAGGGTGGCAGAGTGGGCGGCTCACGTGTACGCTGTGTGTCTGTTTCCTAGCACATGACAACTGGAATCTGAACACTTCCTTCCTTTGAGTCGACCCTCTGCTACTACTGAAGCAGCTTTCTAGTTTTACAGCCTGATCTTTCTCTATAAATATTAAAAATTGATGATCCTACCCCATAACACTAAGTACAATATTCTCCAGGCTCAATGAGGTATGAGATGCTAGAAAAATCTAAGACAAAATAATTACATCTTAAATCCCGAAAGGCAAGAGGATGCCAACGGCAACAAAAAGCGAGCATCTGTAATTAAAGAAATGGGGCAGTGGCGGTGCCCAGAACTTGTGAGATAGAGGCAGGCAGATCTCTGTGAGTTCAAGGCCAGCCTGGTCTACACACAGAGTTCCAAGACAGCCAGGGCTTCACAGAGAAACCCTGCCTCAAAACAAACCAAAGGAAGGGAGGGAGGGAGAGAGGACGGACTCATTTGCCAAGATGCAAGAGATGAGGGAGATGGCTGGAAACAGTGGCTGGAGCAACCCCAACAGACGAAATCCAGACCAAGGTGAGACTCCAGAAAGGGGGCACACTCACAAAGCTCGGCTCCTTATTCAGGCAGGCCTCCACGAACTCCTTTAGGGGTTTGCTGTAGTTCCCTTCCAGTGTGGGAGGGTTGTTCTTTGGGATGAGAAATAACACCTTCATGGGGTGCAGCTCAGAATGAGGAGGCTCTCCTTTGGCCAGTTCTATGGCCGTGATGCCAAGGGACCAGATGTCTGCCTGCAAGGACAAAAGCAGCTTAAAGATGGAGCAAGAAGGCATTCAGAAAGCACGAGGGGATGGGGGGTGGGGGTGAATACACAGGCTTCAATCTCAGGTTCTGAAAAAGACCATTATTCTGAACTAAGAAACACAAGCCCTTAGCATGATTTTAACACAGGAAACAAGTGGACAGACTTTATGTAGCAAATACTACATTCAAATACAAAATTGCTACAGTAGCGATCCAGACTGACTACCTCTGAGGTCGGCAGCACATCTGTGTCAGGTGTGCTTTGTGGAATCTTTGCAGCAGCAACAGGAGCACATGAGCAGGAGGAACTTCACCTCTTGAGCAGCACCCCTTGGTGCCAGGCACTGCTGTTCAGACCTAGTAGGCACCCTGGTCTCAAACACCAGCTTTATAATCAGGGTCTTTCGACACTAGACAAACAGCTTCTCCTTCGCCCTGTCCCCTTGATTTTCATGAGGAAGGTAGTTACAAGGGTGTGTGAAGGGACTACACTACCACTGTGCCCAGAACTTAAACATTTTTGTTTTGTTTGATTTCGTTTCTAGTGCTGGGAACCAAACCTAGAGGCTCACACTAGGCAAGCGCTCTATCAGCGCTAGAGAATGTTTATTATAAAAATGGTCAAACACACAGACATGGACAACATTAAGACAATCATACATACAGCACACAGCAGTATCACTTCCATACAGACTTTGTTAAGTAAAGTGACCTGTAATCCCAGCATTCAGGAGACAGAGGCAGGAGAATTACCACAAGTTTGAGGCCAGCTCAAGCTACATACACAGCAAAATACTAGAGCTATACAACAGGATCTTGTCTCAAAGAAAGAGATGACAAGCAAACAGACAGAAGCTATATGAGACCTGCCAACCCCCTCCCCCCAGTACTTTGACATGCCAGCCAAACAGGGCTTTCCATGCTGACACTAAAATTAGCAGTACTAGTGAAAAAATGGAGCTACTGAATTGGGGCTTTCCCGGGCTGTGTGCACAGCAGCTCTCGTGAGGTGCTGGGCAGCAACAGCCAGCCCATGTTCCAGGCAGCACAGCTAGAATGCCAGAATGGGCAAGAAAGAGAGAGAAAAAAAAATGAGTATTTCCAACTTCCAGTGAGTTTATCAAGGAGTATCCATGATTCTTTAACAGCAAGTCATACCTGAGCCTTTCCAACTGGTTAAAAATCATAAAACTTTCCATAGCTGCTTTATCTGAATTAGGATCCAAAGTCCACATGTTCCCAAATGACTAGGCTGCCCAAGGTCCTTTAATCAATAACAGTCTCTATTGCCAATTTCCCCAGTACCTTTAAGAATGAGGTCTCAAGTCCTTATTCTGGGTGTCATTTCCCTTTGTCCTGGTTGGATTTCTATCAACTTGACAAGCTGCAAGGAGAACCTCAATGGAGAACACGCCCCATCACACTGACCCGGAGATAAGCCTGTGAGGTTTTTTTTCCCTGTTTAATGATTGATGTGGAAGGGCCCAGACCACTGTGGGCAGAGCCATCACCCCTGGACGGGTGGCCCTGGTGTAAGAGAAAGCAAACTAAGCCATCCAGGAAGAGGCATCCCTCCCTCTGTGGTCTCTGCTACAGTCCCTATCTCCAGGTTCCTGGTCTGACTTCATGAGGGACTGTACACTGTAAGGTGAATTAACCCTGTCCTCCTCAAGCTGCCTGTGGTCACCGTAGTTACCACAGTCCTAAAGCCCTCACTAAGCACCCCTGACATCGGATCTGTTTCTCTCTCAGTGTGTTCCCAGCCTAAGGTCCCACAGAGTCTGACTTGAGACTCAAGGCTCGGCACTAGAACAGCTCTGCTTTCCAACTGCCCAGACCTGTGTCTGTCACCTCCGTGCACGGTGTGTTCCTTAAATACTCACTGTATGAAAGGAACACAAGTCTCGGGGCAACTTTACTACAAGTGAGGCTGTCAGGAGCTCAAACCCAGTGAAACAGGACAAAACAGGCTGGCAAAGAGGACATGGGGACAGGACGGAGAGTGGCACCTGCTCCTGTCACCGCACCACAAACTCATCACCAGTCCAGGCCTTACGGCACAGGTGGAGAGAGAGACCTATGCAGGGGAGCATGGGACCAGGACAATCTCCAGCCTTTAACCTCTTGGAGTGCTATTCTCCTGCATCCTTGTGAACACTAGAAATCCCCACCACCGTGCCTCTAGTTAGCACCATGAAGGTGGCAAGAGGAAGAGAGAAAGCCACACAGGAGGAAGAGGAGGTACAGGAGGGCTGAGGCAGGCCTGACTCTCACATGCTCCCTCTGCACTCCTCATGACTACTGGCACCTACTCCCGTGCTCCTAGGCACAGCAGTGTCTCACCACACCCATAGGGCCTCTGGCAATGGCTCTCCATCCAGATCTCTAGGCTTCACGTGCCTGCTCAGTTTATCCCATTACAAGGCCTGATAGTGATGGTCTAGGCTTAAGGTTAGCTGTGCACTGACTGCACCTAGAGGCAGCAAGCCTGCAAGGAACTGTCCCTGCTTACTCAGCCCCACGTACATGGAGTGACTAGCCAGTTCCTGGGCTGCCAAGCAACTTGAGATTCCTCTTTGGAATATCCTGAACCCAACCAGGAATGGTGGCAGACCACTGTAACCCCTGCTATGGAAGTTGGTTGGCCAGAGGAACTGAAAGTTCAAGACCAGACTGGGCTCTCTAATGGAGCCTGTCTAAACCAAACCATGAAATACTCAAACCCACCCAGGTGAAAAGTGTGTGGCAGTGAACTCTAACACCCAGCGTCCCCACACCCCTCTAGTTCTAGCTTGGCTGAGCTGCCTTCCCCCAGGACTTGTGCAGGGTCCTGTCATTTGATGCCCACTGACAAACCTGGACATGGAGCTGGCACATCCAGGACACCAAGCCATTTGGTATGTGATCAGAAGCCATGAAAACACCCAAACGTGTTTAAATGCAATGTACCCCAACAAATGGAGACCAGGAAGAGAGAGGATGTCTCTCCAAACAGCACAAATACCAAACCCCAGCACACATGACTGCTTGGCTATGATTATACTTAGGAAATGTGGCACCTGAGGGTTCAGATGAGTCAGGCAAGTCAAGTCAGTCCCTGTCCACAACAATAGCTGAACTACACCAAGGATCCACTTCAGAGAGGTATCTCGTACAACAGGGAGATCAGAAGAGCTCTCTGGGAAACAAGAAAGTGAGTGGTCCTGGATACAACAGAAACAGGAGGCCTGAGCCCCAAGTCCTAAGGGTCATGGCTGACAAGCTAATTTACTACAACTGAAAGAGAATGACCAGGGAGAGCAGAAGAACCTGGATCCTAGTCTCTCTCCTACCGAAACCCAGACACGAATACAGACAGCAAATGGCAGACAATACACCCACCTTCCTACATGACAGAACTCAGGAAAAAGACCAAGAGAAGACAGGGCTTCAGATGAGAAGCAGCCATGGAAGTCATCTTCCAGAAGACATGGAACCAACAAGCAACAAACGCAGAGAACAGACCTGACTAACCTGAAGTACTCTTGCTGCGTGCTAGATGACAGGGTCAGAGTTCCTACAAAAGCTAACACGCCATCAGCTTCTCTGTGAGTTCACCAAGTCAGCCAGAACAAGGGATACCTGTATCCTTACCCACAAAGACAGGCCACAATGGCATATACCTTACAATAGTACCCAAGGTTCCAAAGAGAAGTTATCCTATGCTTCATACACCATTTAAAGAGGCCAGAAATCTGCTACACATGGGAGAGTCCAAGAAAGAAAGGAAAGACAAGACAGAGACACAAGCCAGGCATGCTAGCACATGTTTGTAATCCTAATACTTGAAGGCTGAGGCAGGAGATCACCAGTGTGTCAGACTGTCAGACTTCAGCTACAGAACAAAACTAATTTGGGGTTTGTTTTGTTTTGAGGGGCTAGAGAGATAGCTCAGCATTTAAGAGCACATAATGCTCTGGTGAGAACCCGAGTTTGGTTCCCAGCACCCATGTCAGGTAGCTCACAACTGTCTAATACCATCTTTGTGGGCCTGAAGCCTTCCAGGGCATCAGCACTCACAGGCACAATTCACACAGACACGTAACTTGAATGAATGAATGAATGAAGGAAGGAAGGAAGGAAGGAAGGAAGGAAGGAAGGAAGGAAGGAAAGAAGAAAGGAAGGAAGGAAGGAGCAAATGGAAAGAAAAACCAGTGTTCAGCCCGTGAACATTTCTGAGTTAAATATTTTTTTTGCTTTGAAAGTTTGGTGCTCAGGAAAGCCAATTCTCTGCGATGACCACGCATATTGTGCATAGGTCTCTGACCTGAGCAATGGTTGGGCCATTTTTGGTCTATACTACAAGATTATAAAAAACTAAAGGACAAATGGAAAAAGTAGAAGCATTAGGACCAGAAACCAACAAGGAACCACAGCCAGCCGTGCGTGTGCGTGTGCGTGTGCGTGTGCGTGTGCGTGTGCGTGTGCGCTGACTCTTGCCTCTGAGAATACAGATCCTGAAACAAAGCAGAACAAGCAGATGCAATCACTGAGGAAGCATGCCTGCCCACTCCGCTGTGGGATTTTTCTGAGGACTCGTTTCTCTAGATGTCCTACCTGGAGCGGGCAGAGCTCTGTCCAGACCCTGCCCCTCACCCACTGTGCCAAGGGTCTTGCAGCCTCCTCCACGTGCAGACATACTCGGCCCTCTCTACTAACTGTCTGGACCCCCACAGCCCAAGCCATCTAGGGTCTGCATGTCTCAGAATGCCCAAGCTGCGCCCCTCCTCACACCTGCTCTTTCCTGGTCCCCAACATATCAAACACAAACCAGCCACAACGTCCAGACGAACAAGGGAGCCAATGGTGTAGCAGGAGATGGAGAAGGATTAACCAAGGTCACAGAATCACTGTAACCCACCTCGGGCATAGACAGAATGTCGCATGATCAAAACACAAGGGTCAAGCATCTGGATGAGGCCCACAACACTGCTCTCACCTTTGAGTCGTAGGCGGACTGCTTAATGACCTCGGGCGCCATCCAGAAGGGAGTACCCACGAAGGTGTTCCTTTTTATCTGGGTGTCCGTCAGCTGGCCAGCCACCCCAAAGTCAGCCAGCTTCACCTCTCCGTGTTCAGAGAGCAGAACATTGGCCGCTGAAAGACAAGAAAGGCAGGAGGCCGGAGGCGCTGTTACTCCCAAGGTCACCCTGGAAGCTGAAGCATGGTCTCCCCACAGAGCATGACGGCCCCTAAGAGCAAGGTGCCCTGGGGTTTGAAAACAGCCCACCCTGACCCGAGATAAGCAGAATGGACAAGAGAGCTGCTAGCAAGCACAGAAGTGGGCTCTGCCACTTCTGGTTTCAAAGAAATGAAAACAAGCATAGCCTTCACCACCAGGCAGTGGTGGCGCACACCTTTAATGGCAGCACTTGGGAGGCAGAGGCAGGTGGATCTCTGAGTCTGAGAGCAGCCTGGTCTACAGAGTGAGTTCCCCGGATGGCCAGAGCTACACAGAGAAACCTTATCCCCATAAAACAAAGAAAAAGAGCAGCCCTTACCTTTAATATCTCTGTGGATTTTCTTCTCTGAGTGTAGATAATCAAGTCCTTTCAGAATTTCTCGTAATATGGTTGCAATCTGGATTTCATCTAAAGGGCCAGGCTCTAACTAACAAGGGGGGAAAAAAAGATCATTAGCCACTTAGCAACTACCTTTACACAGAGTTTAAGAAACAAAATCTATGCTAAATAGATAGATAGGGTAATTAAGATTGAAAGATATCTTTACATAAAGCAGATACTTACTTTGGCTAAACAACTAAAATCTAAAGGGCCAGGCATCAAGATGCATGCATGCCTTTATTCCTAGCACTTGGGAGGCAGAAAGAGCCAGATCTCTGTGAGTTCAAGGTCAGCTGGGTCTACATAGTGAAACCCTGTATCAAAAAATTGAAATATTTTAAAAATTGAATCTATTAAGGATGGAGAGAGGAAGACTATAGAAAATATGTTTTCTGGCCTGGTGTGAATGGATGGATGCATGCATGGATGGATGACGGATGGACAGACGGCAGACTACTTTTCCCTGTGTCCATGGGGCTGTTATTTTGAAAGCCCCTGAACCACACTTGCAGCCCTGAAAGCCACTGTTGGAGACTGGTCCACGTCAAACAAAGCACAAAAGCAGTTGTGAAAAGCGTGTGAGCAGTTCCTTCCTCAAGCTACCCTCATCAGGACCTTCTAGATCTGTCTCTCTGGATCTAGCTCCCCAGCGAGGGAAACTGCAGGGAAAGCTGCTCAATTCTTAAGACTTTCAGAGTGTGTTATGTAACACACACATAAAACACTATTAGCCCTAATTGAAGGAGTAATCGCTTTTATTCTGAGAAACTCAAAGGAGCTGCTTCTCTTGACTCCTCAATGTCGTTCTCGTAAGAAGGTGCAAGGACACACATGCTACATGTATGTGATCCATCCTGCTCCCCTCTCCCCCACCCTGCTTAAAAGGAAGCAGATGGGACAGAGCTCCGCCCCATCGTGCACACACCCATCCTCACTTGTGCAGAGCTTTTCACTGAACTTTTAGCAGTGAGATACTTCAGCAGTCTGATGAGCTTAAAAGTAGCTCTTACTGAGAAAGCACAGTAAGTCAGGTGAACTGAGACTTTTTGAAGAGACAATGAATACCATTTTAACCCAAGCTCACACACCTTAGTCAAAGGAAAGACACACCCCTGTTCTTAAAAAGAAAACTGCGATGCTGGGTGAAATCCTACCCGGCACTTCAAAGACAGCACAATAGTAGGATTGTCCCAAGTTCCAGGCCAGTCTGGGCTACATCCAAAGACTGTCTCAAAAAAACACAAAGCTTGAGAGACAGTTCAGCAGTTAAGACCTTTTACTGCTCCTGGGGAGGAGTCAGGATTCAATTCCTAGCACCCACATGATGGTTTACAATCATCTGTAACCCCAGGTCCAGGGCATCTAAAGCCACTCTCTGACTTCCACAGGCACGTGCATGGTACACGTACATACATGTAGGCACAGGAGCATACTCAGTACACATATATACACACAGGCAAAGCATTAGTCATATATAGAAAATCAATCATAAAAAAACAATAAAAACCAACTAATGCATCTTACTCCTAAGGAAATGAAAGCTGGTGTCACTGCAAGTCTCATGGTTGTGTGATAGCGTGTGACATCCCAAAGGGTATGTGGGGCGCAAAGCGTCAACTGAGGCCTTTGCTCACTCTAGTGGCTGTTCTTGTTATCAACTTGACTACATCCGAAATTAATTCAAACCCAAAAATGGCCAGGCATGCTTGAGGGATTTTTAATTAATTGAATCATTTGAAGTAGGAAGATCCACCTTTAATCCAGGTCTTCCAGGTTGAAGTCCATCCTCTAACCTAACCCAGGTCTTTCGAGGTTGGAAGTCTATCCTCTAACCTGGCCACGCCCTCTGCAGGCGGACTACATAAAGGACTTGGGAAAGGGAAGCTGGTTCCTTTTCCCTGCAAGCCGTTACATTAGGGCCTGCTTCTTCACTATTATATACTGAGGACCAGCTGAAACATCCAGCTTCGTGGTCTGAACAACTACTGTACTCTTGGATATTCTGTTCATAGGCAGCCATTGTTGTGAGATCAGGTGGACCACAGTTTCCAAACCATTTTAATAAATCTAGTATGTATAATAAATCATATATACACACACACACACACACACACATATATATATATATACACACACACATATATATATACACACACACACACATATATATATACACACACACACATATATACACACACACACACACACACACACATATATATATATACACGCACACATATATACACACACACATATATATATATA